AATTTCAAAATATAATTTCCTGTTTCTTTTTTTTTCATTTTGGGCTGAAATATGGTCCGCACAGTTCCTTGACAGTTTTTGAGAGATTTCACCCTGACACTTGTGTTAGTGCTTGTAAAAATATGACTTGACAAAATCACACACATTGACCCTTCTGACATATTCAAAATAATACTGTTACACAGAAAGAGCGCAAACATATCAAAAGTAACATTACTGTCAGTAAAAAAAAAAAAAAACATAAATGACATTAGTTGGATCAGCAAATAAAATTGGAGCCACTTAATACTACATTTAAAAATAATACTATACCACTATAAAGACATATTACTGAGTAAAGTTTCTTCTAATACCAGGAAAAAAAACATGATATCCTATGACACAGGTAACCTCCCACTGGAGGTACAGCTGTTGGCCTGCTTTATAAAGGCCATCATGATGACAATGATAGATGGATTTGAGATGGACAACTTGTTTGGCTGACTGTAACTTTCCAATCTATTATATATTTAAGGACTGGAAATATGTTGCAAATGATTGTGATCTTGATCCAAAATAATAATTCAGTAACAGAAAAGCAACTCTTTCTCCCATCAACCATCTCCTACATGAGATGATCTTCCCTTTTGCTTATGCACAGATGAATCCCTTCCTCATAGAGCACCTTCAGAGGTTTCTTTTCGTTTAGCTACTGTATTTCAATACAATCTTTTGAGACTCGTCTGATCCCTTTGAATCCAGTCTTGAATTCTTCCATTTACATAGATCTATCAGATCAGGCTTCAGATGGGGATGTCATTTAAAGGCACTGGGACCCAGAAGACAACCAGTGCTGTGGCTTTTACCACTTCTTCACAGTCAAACTACATGAATTTGGCTCCTCTCTCCCCAAATCTGAGGTATTAGAGATAACTTGCCTGGATGTGGCAGAGCCAAAACAAAATACCTCCTCAGCCAATATCTTTCTGTTAGTTCTTGAATGCTCCGTGGCGGCTGGCTTTGCTGATGAAGTTCTTCAGCAGATCGTGGTCCATGTCGGCGAAGGCCTGCGTCTGAGTGACAGCCGTCAGGTGGTTAACGCAAAACTTGAAACAGAACTCTTCCAGATCCTGCACATGAAGAGTGGATGGACTGATTCAACGAGAAAGAGAACCACCACCAAAGACCTACAGAATAATATATGAAACCGCAAATATATGTACATGTTTAGGGCTCTGTTCCAAAACCTAGTGAGCTGCCTACCTAGACAGCATTTTTAGACATTGTATACTGTATGTGCTATCTTTAGCTTTCAAAATTGTAAAAATGCAGAAAGTTTTCTGTGAGGGGTAGGGTTATGGGTAGGGGTGGGTTTAGGTTAAAAAGTGTATAACTATCTGTATATAAAAACAATCGAAGTCTATGTAATGTCGCCAATTAGATTAAGTAATTAGCCAAGTAAACGTGTGTGTGTGTGTGTGTGTGTGTGTAAAATAGTATATCAGTCTGGCGAGTAAACAAAAAAAATTTACTAGCCAATGGCGATTATATTGCCAAGGTGTGCGTAGAGGGTTGAGTTATAATTGTATGGTGCTATCTTGGGGTAGATGTCACACTTGATCCTTTGAAGTGGACCCAAATTTGTTTAAAGCCGGAGGTCACTTCTTTTGGTTTTCTGGGGCCAGATTCACGAAAAACTTCTTAAGAAGTTTCTTAGTATAAATTCTAAGTTCGTAAGAATGTTTATAAGTACAAATCTATAAAAATTCTTGTTCTCAAATATTTATTTAATCTTATTTTTTTTTCTCTTAGGAATTAAATTGCAAGCTTTAGTGTTATCTAACTGTATGGAGTTCTTGCCAATTCTTGCTGAGGATTCGCTGATCAACTCAATGGAAAACACCCTATAAGCCATCTTTTTTGCTGCATGCAGATTAACATAATAATCATAAGCAGAAAATAGCAGGTAAAAAAAAATGTTTTCTTAAGAATGTTTCATGAATCTGGCCCCGTAGTTGGTATGAAAACAATCTCTGAGTACTTAGCCAGCTTAACAATATGCTAACATCAAACTGTGAATGTTAGTCAAGTCTTCTTGAAGTCAGCTATTTTAACCGAGCGGCAACCTCCCGCTCTCTCTCTTGAAGCCAACAAGGCTTCAAAACGCTCGTCGAAAGTCTACGGGTTACGTCACGGACACTACGTCCATGTTTTTATACAGTCTATGATTTTAACCCATATTTGTGTTTGTTTTTTGCTTATTAGTAGGGATGCACTGATACTGAGCTCCTGTACTCGTACTCCTACTCGTTAAAATGCCCCGATACCAAACGCCGATACTACACAGCATGTGATAAGCGCCATATTCAGACAAAGAAACACAGACAACAGAACAACAGACAGCAGAATGGAGTTAAGGATGTCTACTACGAAGTATATGTATGCAATGAATATAACGTTAAACATTCAGTATTAATGCCTGTATAGCTGATGTGCGCGAGCTGATAAACAAAGCGCGCTGAGTGGATTGAGCGCGCGGCTGCGCAGATGCGCGAGCTTGTCGAGTGAATATATCTTTCTCACAGACATCACTGGAAAGTTTGTAGTTCGGTCGGATATGTAAAATACAAGTAAGTAAAACAATGCGCAAGTTATACTTAACGGTAGGGAGAGAGAGAGAGAGACAGAGAGAGAGAGAGAGAGCGCGCACTTCTGTTGTGTGATCTTTAATGTTCACTCACTTAGCACACGCATCATTTGGATTAAAACGTAATCGTAAAAATAAGACCATTTATAGGGGCATTCAATATAATCATCATTTATTTTCAACCTTAGGCATACACGACTTTCTAGCGAAAGTGAATCTAGCAGCCTGTGTGAAATGCACTAGGCTGTACTATTCTGCATCAGTACAAACACGTGCAGGCGTTGCGCGTGTTTTGCTTGCTTGAGCGTTTCTGCATTATATGAGTGGCTTTGGAATATAAATCGCAGCACGTTTCAGATGAAAAAACGCGACTTCTATTTCTGAAAATATCAGTTAGGAGATTTATAACGAGTGGTTCCCTGCATTATTACAGCAAAGCGCGTGATTACAGTACTAAGCCGCTGCTCTAATGCTATTAAATTAAAGATGATGTACCATAGAGCAAAAAAATGAACAGTGAAAGTAACAAAAACTTGTAAAATACATTTTAATGGGCATAATTAAGTGTGAAAATAACCGAAGGATATACAGTGAAACCAAAAATGATTCAGAGACCAGATATAATTTTTGATATTTTTTTACTAGTGGGTGCAGGACACTATAGTTCATTTATGTAAGTGAGGATAGCAAAATAAAGTAAACTGTGACAAATCATACCCAAAAATTCTTCATACAGTGGACTACCAGTAAAATTGATACAAATTTGGGTCCAAAAATTATTCAGACCGAGTCTGGGAAAAAAACTGAAGTTGAGGTTTTCATGAACCTGGGTGACAGCATGCCCAGGAGACTACAGGCTGTCATTAAGGCTTTATTACCATTTTCTAAACTATAGTGAATAAACTGTGATAATGTGAGAAATGTTGAAGGTTTGGCTGTATTTATTTAATAAATGAAGTTAACCAACTAACATTATACATACTTCTTTGGTTTCTGTACCCAATATTTAAAAAATGTACAAATGCAATAAAAATATCGGTATCGGTACTCTGTATCGGCAAGTACCAAAAATAAAAGTATCCGTATCGGGTACTGGAAAAAGGGGTATCGGTGCATCCCTACTTATTAGAGTATAAAGTCATTAGCAAATGAGCTATTTCAAACAATATTTTTGTTCTTCATTCTTTTCTTTCTTATTAGTGTATAAAGCCATTAACTTAGCAATACGCTAACATCAAAATCCACTGGATCAACTATGAATGTTAGTTGTCTGCTGTGTGCTTAATCTAAGCACAAATATTGGGTGAAATAGCTTAAATGATGAAGTTGTTGGCTAACATCAAACTGTATTGTACTGTAGCAATAAGATAACATCCATTTATCCCAATGTGCTTTTTAGAGTATTTGTTGTTAGCTTAGCAGTACACTAACATCAAAATCTTTTGAATGAATTGTTAATGTGTTCTTTGTATTTTTTATTAGTGTATTAAGATGCTAGCTTAGCAAAATGTTTGTAGAGTCTCTTGTGCATTTCACGCCGTCTTTGGACATTTTGAGTATGGTGATCTAAGCTTAGTAACATGTTGATGTTTATCTCACTAACATTTGGAACAGGACCTGTATTTAACTGAATGGATGTACGACAGAAGGTGTGAGTGTACACACTCACCCGGGCTTCATACTTGACAGCAGCTGAGAGCAGTGTTATAGCGTTCTCCTCTGTGATGCCTCTCTTGATGGTCTCCTGACACAGTCTTTTCAGACGGCTCTCACGGTAGTACGTGGCCAAATCCAGCAGACCTTTACAATGCAACGATCATAGGATCATAAACACCAAACAACATCAGTCAGATATTTGAACAAAAAAATGCTGCTATATGGTGTAGTTAAAGGGTTAGTTCACCCAAAAATGAAAATTCTGTCATTAATTACTCACCCTCATGTCGTTCCAAACCCGTAAGACCTTCGTTCATCTTCGGAACACAAATTAAGATATTTTTGATGAAATCTGAGAGCTCTCTGACCCTCCCATAGACAGCAACACAACTGCAATGTTCCCAGATCCAGAAACGTAGCAAGGAAATCGGTAAAATAGTCCATGTGACATCAGTGGTTCAACCGTAATTTTATGAAGCTACGAGAATACTTTTGATGATAAACGCTGATTACATTGATTACGTTCTGGTGTACTCTCCAAACTGGCAGAAGACGGTAACACGGGGAGAAGAATTGTTGAATAAATTATGTTATTATTGTTTGTTTTTTTCACACAGAAAGTATTCTCGTAGCTTCGTAAAATTACGGTTGAGCCACTGATGTCACATGGACTATTTTACCGATTTCTGGACCTGGGAACATTGCAGTTGCATTGCTGTTTATGGAGAGTCAAAGAGCTCTCTTGATTTGATCAAAAATATCTTCATTTGTGTTCCGAAGTTGAACAAAGGTCTTGTGGGTTTGGAGTGACATGAGGGTGAGTAATTAATGACAATTTTCATTTTTGGGTGAACTAAACCTTTAACAAGTTTTTCACTGTGTCATGTTGGACTCCATCTAAAAGCATGTCAAACAGGTATGTATTTGTGGATTTAAACAAATAAATCAGTGTAATTCAGATCATGGATGTATGACCATGATCTAGCAGTCATAATGAAGGGTGTGGTTTACCAATGGCATCCTCAGGTGGGAGGTTAATGGTATCAGTATACAGGTACTCCAGGAATGCACGATACACCAGATAAGAAAACTGATGAATCTCTATGGTCTCTTCATCTGTCTCATTCAGTAATGCTCGGAAATGCTCGCACCTATCAATACAACCACAAAAGTATTATTATTATTTTAAAGTTTTATTAATTGTATTAAAATTTTTAAGATACTGCAGCAAAAACTAATACTAGCCCACCAAATATAAAGCTCAAACATCATTAAAGACAAGTAAACAGCCAATAACAAAATAAGAAATAAATGACAAGCAAATTTCATGAATTAATACAATAGAACAAACATGCAAATGAAATAAACAGTGCTTTAAGTTTATCAGGAAGGTCTACTAACAGAAGTATTTAGGTAAGAAGTAGCCTATACATAAATTAAATAATACAATGTAAAAGAAACCACTGCATAGTATTCACTATACAAATTAAATATAGACTGTTCCTTAATAAAGCTACAAAGGTTATTCAGTCAAAAGCAGTGATTTTCTTAAGCGTAGAAGTACAACAGCTCAAGTTTACATGTAAAATCTTTCATTGTATATTCTATTATCATGTCACATTTGGTTAAGACACAGTATAAAGCTTATTCAAGGATATAAGGTGACTCATTCCACACTCTTCTAAACCTCAAAAGATACATTGTGTAGTACAAAGCTATCAGCTCCAGACCCAGAAGAATTCTTCCCTGTTGGTCTGCTGACTTTAAACTCCCCTATTATTATTACACTGCTCGGTGAAGAGGAACTACACTAAATGTGTAATTTGCACTCTATGTATTTTTTACAGCTTTCTTCTCAGTGTCCTGTCTGTACTTGCATATTAGACTCTCATTTTGTTCTACAGCTGTAAAAACAAACAAACATGAACTTCAAATGCAGAACGACTCTGCTGGGCTCAACAATGAAAAATAAATCTGTGAGAACTATAAAATATATTTAAATGCATATATCCACATAAAAAGGTAAAATATTAATAAATATCATAAAACTGAATTTTAAGTCACAAAATGTCTTAATTCTTTCCCCACCAGCATTTTCTAAAGTTTGATCATCAGTTTTTCACAAAAATTTAATTTTGTTGTATGGATATGTGAACATACAATATATCAAAAGAAAGAACAGAGCCTCTGCTTTCTTAGATCTTTGAGTTCAGCTCATGAAAAATGGGGGCAAAAACAAAAGTGTTGAGTTTATAATTTTGTTCAGTGTATATATATATATATGTGCTGTCTTCTTTCTTTCTTTTGTAACACCATTAGAATATTGTTAAGTTCCATCCAAAAAAAGCTTAGAAAACTATTTTTGTCAAAGAAACATTTTTTAAAGCAGAATACATCAATTCCAAATACAACAGAAATATCAATCAAATATCAATGCATGCATGAATGAATGAATGAATGCATTGTAATGTGTATTTGAGTGTTACACTGTGTAACATTTCCCAGAATGTAAGGGGACACCATAACCTCCTGCAAAACCCTTACATGTATATGGAAGCATATGTGTAGCAAAGTTCATTTTGAAATGTAATTTGCAAAATGGCAATGCAATATGTAAAATGGCAATGCATTTCTTTATTTAAATGTACAATTTCCCATACATATGTGCAACGTTTAGTGCAAAATGAAAATTCAATTATATAATTTAGATTTGCCATTTCCTACACTAGTTTTAATATGTAAACATATTTTAACACTTTATAAGTTGCAAAATGAAAATGAAAAAATGTATTACCCAAATTGATTAGATGTTTAAAATTGTCCAAGCAAAAACTGTAGCAAAATTATCATTTAAATGCCATTTTTCCTAAATGCATTTAGACTTACGGGTAGGACACTTGGGATTGCATTTTCATCGTGATACCGCGTGATAATTGTAGCAAAATGCAGTGTGAATTTCAAAATGCATTCTGAG